TGAATGTAAGAGACTGGCCTGGTACGTATTGAAAACGTCACATCAAAAGGCAGGCAAACTTTAGCTGAGGGTTTCAGCAGCAGCTGAACTGCAGTAGGATGGTGTGTGGTGGTTTGGGGGGGGGGGGGGGGGGGGCGCGGGGCTGCCGTAAGGAAAGATAGCTGCGTAAGTTCTGTGTTGACACATCTGGTTTTAGCGAGTACCACAGTCACAACTCAAAGATGACACCAAGGTTGTGAACACAGATGTTCAGCGTCAGTTCTTGGGGAGAACAGAATTTATACAGTGACTCAAGCCAATGACTTTGGTCATCCCCATTTTAATTGGAGGACATTTCCGTTCATCCAGAACTGAATGAGAGATAAGCAGTTTGATAATTTAGTAGCAGTGGAGGAATGGAGTGTGGAGGTAGAGCTGGGTGTTGTCGGTGTAGATGTGAAAACCTAATAGTGCTTTTGGAGGATGTCACCTCATGGCAGCATGCAGCTGAGAAAAAGGAGGGTCTAAGGGCAGATCCTTGACAGTCACCAATCTTATGACTGAATTGTGTCTTTAACATAATGCTGATTTACTTGCCTTTTTTCCAAAAAAAAAAAAAAAAAACAAACAAACATTGGACTGGAGTTTATGAACATCAGCAAAAACAGATCCCAGTGAGCATGCTTCAGTCTTGGATGTGATGACAGAAAATCCTATCACTGTAATTATTCATGAACTTGGCGGTGTCTCAGCAGAGCAGTTGAGTGAGTGAATCCCTTCCCACACTCAGAGCAGGTGAATGGTCTCTCTCCAGTGTGAACTTGCTGGTGTGTCAGTAGGTTCGACGACTGAGTGAATCCCTTCCCACATTCAGAACAGGTAAATGGCCTCTCCTGAGTGTGAACGCGCTGATGTACAATGAGGTGAGATGACCATCTGAAGCCAGTCCCACAGTGACAGCACTTGAACGGTTTCTCGTCAGTGTGAACACGCTGATGGGACATCAGTTCGCGGGAACTTTTATAGCACTTCATGCACTCCGGGCATTTAAAAGGTCTCTCATCACTGTGAACTCGCTGATGTTTCAGCAAATTGGATGAATCAGTGAATCGCTTTCCACATTTGGAGCAGATGAATGGTCTCTCCCCAGTATGAACTCGCTGGTGTTTCAGCAAGTCAGATGATTGAGTAAACCCCTTCCCACACACTGAGCAGCTGAACAGTTTTTCTCCTGTCTGACTATGTTGATGAATTTCCAGCTCAGATGGGGCTCTGACTCCTTTGGCACATTCCCCACATTTCAATGTATTCTCATCGCCACTGTGTTTGTGTCGCGATAGGTTGGATGATCTGGTGAAACCTTGTCCACGGGTACATGCGTACGGTTCCTCCGCTCTGTGAACAGAGCTTTTATCTTCCATATTCAAAAATCTTATGATTTCTGGTTACAATAATTTTATGTCAGCTACTGACATGATGTTTGGTTTCAGTTGCCCAACTGCAAGTCCACCAGTTCTAACTGACCACACGATCAGCCAAAGACTTGTCTACACACCCGATGACATGCCCTATTTCTCTTCACAGGGAATGGAAAGTTTTTCTCAGAAATGTTGAAAAACCTATTGTATTCAGGTTCTGATAAATCAAACTTCTTTCAGGTTCTTGGTGTGATGCTGGGTTAAATGTTCCCATGGTGGAAATCTTCCTCTTCCAATCCCCTGAAAAATTAATGTTAAAACAGAGAGAAGGTATTGAGAGACAAACCACAAAAATACAATGGCAAGTTGTGAAATGAAGCTGGATGAATCTGGTCATTTGAGAGGCTGATGCTGGGAAAAACTGACCACGAAACTGGACTGTGTTTAAAAACTCAACAAATTGACTACTTTCCTTCAGGAAAAGGATCCTGCTGCCCAATCTGGACCCAAACAAGGAGGAAGCGTGAGAGAAAACAACAACACTGGCAGTTATAATAAAGGAAGCTCAAATTATTTTACAAAAGTATATTAGGAGTAAAAGGGTAACCAGGAAAGTAGTAGGGCCCATGACTAACATAACTGGCAAATTGGAAGTGGAGCTAGATGATTAGGTTTTCAATTAATTTTTAAAGACGTGTTCATAATAAGAAAGATGTAGGTATAGAGGGAAAAAAAAAAAACAGGAAGAGGACTAATATGCTCAAACAAATTGAAATTCAGATGGAGGGTATATAGAGGTTTAAAGTACTTAGAATTGCATATATCTCAGGCCCAGACAAGATGGATCCCATTGCTATGGAAGGAGATTGCAGAAATCCTCTCTCGACACAAAAGATCCAGAGGAGTAGAGGATATAATACGTGGTACTAGTGTTCCAAGACTGTTTGTAGGGATTAACCAGGGACTTGTAGTCCAATGAGTCTAAACATCAATCACAGGGAAATAATTGGAAAAAAAATTCTGTGGGAGAGAATCATCTCTACTTGGAGAGGCAAGGCTAAACCAAGGATAGTCAGCATGGCAAGATCAGGGGCAGGCCATGTCTAACAGGCTTAATTAGAATTTTCCAGGAGGTGACTCGATGTGTGGATGAGGATAATGCATTGGATGCCATCTACATTGACATCAGTAAGCCATTTGCAAGATCTCTCATGGCAGATTGGTTACAGAGTTATACAACACAAACGACCCTTCGGTCCAACTTGTCCACGCTGACCAGATATCCTAAATGATTCTAGTCCCATTTGCTACCATCTGGCCCATAATCCCTCTAAACCCTTCCTATTCATGTACCCATTCAGATACCTTTTAAATGGTGTAATTGCACCCACCTTCACCACTTCCTCTGGCAGCTCATTTTATACACGCACCACCCTCTGTGTGAAAAAAGTGCCCTTCAAGTCCCTTTTAAATCTTTCTCCTCTCAGATTAAACATAAATCCTCTAGTTTTGGACTCCTCTACCCAGGGAAAAACACTTTGGGTATTCACCTATCCATGTCCTTCATGTTTTTATAAGCTTCTGTAAGGTCACGCCTCAACCTCCAAAACTCCCAAGGGAAAAAGCCCCAGCCTATTCAGCCCTGCCCCACAGCTCAATCCCTCAAACCCTGGCAATATCCTTGTAAATCTTTTCTGAACCCTTTCAAGTTTAACCACATCTTTCCTGTAGCAGGGAGACCAGAACTGAATACAGTATTCTGAAAGTAGCCTAACTAATGTGCTTACAGCCACATCATGACATCCCAATTCCTATTCTCAATGCACTGACCAATAAAGGCAAGTGTGCCAAATGTCTTCTTCAAAACCCCAAAACCTTCAAAACAAACAGGCCTGAAACGTCAACCTTCCTGCTCCTCTGATGCTGCTTGGCCTGCTGCGTTCATCCAGCTCTACACCTTGTTATCTCAGATTCTCCAGCATCTGCAGTTCCTGCTACCCCAGTACAGTAACTGTGTCAGGTCTTGTTGTGATGTTTGTTTTGAGCTTCCCGTTTGTGAATCCTGTTCTATTATCCTGCGAAAGGTGTTTACATTATATACATTGTCCGCCCAGCATAAAAATTGAAAACAAACATTTCTCGAATTTCAATTTGCGTTCAAGTCCGCGAGTTCTAAGCTACTGTCAAAGGAGTTTCCGAAATTAACCCACGGTCAGCTCTGGATAAAAATTTAAAACAACAAAACATAGTTTGAACTTGCTCTGTGTATCAATCCTGTCCGGTCACTGTCTTCCCCCCAACGCCGGATGTACATTACCCCGGATAAAGATGGCGTTCCGAATAAGTCGGCGACTTGTCGCCCCCCCAAAAA